CACACACACACACACACACACACACACACACACACACACACACACACACACACACACACACGTAACACCACCAGAAAGAGAAGAAATGTTAAAGCCATGTCTCATTTCTTGATTTTTATTTAAAATGCTCACATCAATAGTCTTTCAACTGTTTTTATATTTTTATATTTTAGTCCTCTGCCTGACCACTTAMAACAAATTAAGAGCTGATTAAAACTTTTGCACAGTACCGTCTGTGAGTTATCTGCGCACAAGATGAGGGATTTTATGATTGAATCTGCCACAGAGCTCCTAGTGAACAGAGCTTATAATACCACATGGCATTTTTAAAAGGATCCAAAAGCAAATCAGTGTTACACACAAATTTGTTTTTCTATCCTTATTAGGGACCACTCATTGACTGCCATTCATTTCAACTCACTTCTAATCCAAAAACGGAGTTCCACCATATTAGGACCGGACTTTGTTCCACTGGTCTCAACAAGGTAGGTGTGTATACCTGTCTTTAAAAGTCTTAAAAAAGGTAACAAATACACATGAGGGCTGGGCAATAAATCAATAATAACATATATCACGATAGACTCCTAATTAATATCAACAGAAAACAGTAATGATTTATATATCGCAATATCAATGGAAACTACGTCCAATAGAAAGTTCATAATTTCACTGAACTCTGATCCAGAACTGCATTCTGGGGGACGTAGGCAGAGGAAAGGCTTTAGCTGCTCGACCTCCCACAGCCCAGTTAAGCAAGGTTGACATCAACTTAGGGCTGGGTGATAAAACGATACCAATATATCTCGTGATAGACAAGTGATCGAAATAAATCGAAAATATATTCGATAGAACATCGATAATGTAACTTACGGAAGTTTACAAAGTTTGCGTAGGGAAATAAGTTACGAATAGACCTGGACCAGAGATTGTGAAAACACACAATAACAGCTAGGTAAAACAAAAATTAAATCAATAACTATCTATATCGACTGATATGGAAAGCTTATTTTGTGGTACAATTTTTAGCCATATCGCCCAGCACTATGTGGTACAAACACGTACAGTTGGTGTGTCACCAATGGTGTTAGRTCCAAGTCTGCAGGCAGACTGGGACACCACAACTACAACCCTAAAAAGCACTCAGTGCCGTCTCACACAACCACAGCAGAAAATCTTAATGCGGTCCGAGGCACAGAAATAATCTCATCAAACATAACCTGCCTCTCCTGAACAAGGATTCTGCACCAATCAAACTGAGGTGCAGCGTGATGAAGAGAGCTCTGCGGGAACAGGGGGAACAAAAGAAAGGATAAAAAAGCAAATAAAAGCCAATGAGAGAAAAAAAAGACGAGAACGCTTTCTTTACTTTAAGCAATTAGTGCTGCGCTGGAGGAAATATTCAATCAGCAAAGAGGGAAAACCTCCCTGATGAAAACCTCCGGAGGAGAGGAAGAATATTGAGACGTGTGTTTAGCATTGACAGATTTTCAAAGGGCTTCCAGTGTGTGTGGGCAGCGTCTGTTTGAAGGGTTTTTGATTTGTGTGTGCATTGAAACACCAATTTTTTTATAGAAACGGGGCAAAACAGAGCCAGCAGACCCAAAGCTGTTGTTGTGTGCAGGGATAATGTTAGGCTATGTGGAGCTGCAAGCTGCTATTACTTGGGTTACAGCTAGTAGGCGGACTATTACAAAGTCAAAGGCATCTATAAATACATGAAGTACGAGCGAGGACTGGAAAAAGGCAAAGGGTCACGGAGTTTAGTGACACAAAAAATGGGTACGTTTAAAAAATTGAAGCCGTTTTGCCAAGTATTTTGGTTTAAATTCTGCTGCGTGCATTGCAACACACTCCGAGCTAAAGTTCAGATCTCTGGAAGTGGGATTCTGTGGAAAAGTGGTAGGATCTCACCTGCCGTGGGTAGACCTCAGTTTAGAGAGATACTTTATCAAGCAAGACTGAGAACAAATTAAACTGCTGACATCTTTAAACAAGTCCAACCAGAAACTTTTGCCAACAATTCACACGACTGCTGTTCTATCATCTTTACATTCAGTTTCACACAAATTAATTATTCCATCAGGAATATAAGGACATTCCTGCAGGCAGACTGCAAAACATCTGCATTTAAATAACCATTAAATTTTATGTTAATAACTAATCAAGGCCATTTATGAGATTAAAGCTAAAACAGAAAAAATCCACTTTGATCTCTGCTCYGCTCTGACTAGACKTTAGCCCGTCAGTCTTGTCTGGATTAAACTCAAACTGAAGCTATTCAAAGCTCTATCACACACATTTTCTTTTAAAAACTTCAGACTTTTCCTGACTCCCCTTTCCAGAATCCTCAAGTTTTGAGCCAATTTTTAATATTTAAGTACAAATGGTTTTATATAATTATCTATGTATTGTATCTCTTTTTCAATGTGAAAAGGTCACGAAAAGTCAGACAAAAATAATA